GAGGGGCAACAAAGCTGTCAAGCAGGTCAAGCCAAGTGAACAGTTTCGCAGACATGTCCACGCAGTCGTAAATTTTTCTTTTGATTTTGTTGTTCTTGGGCATTTAAATGGATGTAGGCCGCTTCAGTGCTTTGAACGAGTGCAGCTTAGTAAGTTGTTTTCTCTGAGTCGTCTTTGATGTGCATGTCTCCTCTCTCTTTCTCTATCTGACTCCAACTTGCGTTGCAACCTGATGTTGTCCTTGCATGCGTGGTTGAGACTCAGATCCCGCAGACATGTCACGGCTTACAGAATGTTGGCTACTTAGGTAAAATGTTGGATTCGGCTGCTGCTTTCAAGGATCGTGCTGCCAGCATCGGAGTGACTGCAGCTGAGCTTGCGAGACTAGAGGTGCTCAACCTGGACACCTTTGGGAAGCTGGCATATGGATGCAGCTATGTGCCAGGACAAGCGGACGACCAGCCGCTTCTGACGCTTATAGAGAGAGTGTGTGAAGCTGCGCCACCCCCAGAGGAACGTGTGCCAGTCATTAGACGCCTTTTCTTCGAGAGCTACACATTGGCCAATGCAGACTTGAGGTCGAGAGTAGATCGCAAGGATGATGAGCAACCTCGAAAACTTGCTCAAGCAGAGCGTGCAGCAAGGCACAAAGACCAGCAGGTTCGTCTTGCTGGGTTGGAGCTGGTGGGGGAGTTAGAACCCTCACACGCCCTGGTAGATTTGGTATTCCATATGCTGGAAGAAAACCAATTGCGGTACATCAGGTGGGAACAGTGCACAAAACGAGATCAAGAGCTTCTTGGAATTCGACATGACCCTCTGTGGAAACCTGGTGCAGATGGAGTTGTGCGAGAGGTCAGACAGAAGGAAGAAGCCCTTGCAGACACCAGTTCTGACTTGCACCTGAAGTACTGTTTGCAGCGCAGGAGTCTGGCGCTGGATCAGGCTAGGATCATCGACTACGAAAAGATGGAGCGTTGGTCCAGGACTATGCTGGAAGCTTACTCAGCACTTCCAATCGATGGCTACAAGAAGGTCAGTCTGGATCAAATCCAAAGGGCAGATTTGGAACTCTTCAAATTCCTCATGAAGCACAGCAGGGAAGGAATCCGTCCCAGTGGTGGTGTGGCCCCCCTTGAAGCTATCCTGGATCGTGCAATCACTTCAGCGGAAATTCGACTGCGCCTTGCTCCGTTGCCAGCAGGGTCAGGCAGTGGCATCAAGCGAAAGCATGATGACTTGGAACCGGAGACCGCCAACAAAGCCAAGCACTCGCCGGATGACATTGCCAAGTTGAAACGCACCATCGAGAACCTCACTGGGCAAGTTCGCAATTTGAAAAGTCGTGGATCGTCGAAACAGCCACCAACAGGCAAAGGAAACAAAGGCCTGGGTCGTGGAAGCAAAGGCATGATGGGTCGCTCTTACAAGTCTACGGTGAAAATGCCCCCAGAGCTTGTTGGGCAGTCTCCCATGACAGATCAGGGAGAGCCTATTTGCTACAGCTACAATTTGGATGGCTGTAACGAGGCGGCCCCTGGACAGCGCTGCCCACGAGGATGGCACATGTGCACTCGTCCTGGATGTCAGGCAGCGCACTCTCAGCGCAATCACAAGTGATCTTCACTTGGCTCCTTTGCGCCATCCGTGAAGGAGCCAGATAGTGTCACCAGGAGCATCTTTGACGGCGCTCCAAAGAATGCTGTTTTCACCATAGAACTTTGCGCAGGTTGCGCGCGTCTTTCTGCCTCTCTTGCAGCCAAAGGTTTTAGAGCAATGGCAGTGGATCAGAAGTCCAACAAGCATAAACAGGCTTATGCCACAGTGGCCTTAGACCTTGCTAGTGAAGAAGCGGTAAAATTTTTGCTGTCACTTCTGAAGCAGCCGGGTCGAGTTTTCTATGTGCATGCTGCGCCTCCATGTGGAACGTGTTCTCGGGCCAGGGAGCGTCGTCTCAAGAGAGCAGTGCGTCGCCTTGGAGTGAAGGAGCCTTCCCCTTTGCGGAATGCACAATTCCCACATGGTCTACCCACATTGCAAGGCACTGACTTGAAGCGGGTCACCCTGGCCAACCGCATCTATGCCAACATTGCAACAGTGTTGTCCCAAGCAATCATTGCCGGTGCCTACGTTTCTGTGGAGAACCCTACTCGTTCCTGGATGTGGCAAACGAGTTGGATGAAGCAGCTCATTGAACGATTCAACCTGCGTGCAGTGACTTTCCAACAATGCATGCATGGGGGAAAGCGTGACAAGTGGTCTACGTTTTACACCAACGCGCCCTGGTTGACCTTCTTGGCTATGGAATGTGATGGGCAACACTCTCATCTGCCGTGGGGTGTCACCAAGGATGGCAAAAAGTATAAGTTCAATACTGCAGAAGAAGCGGAGTACCCTCCTGTCTTGTGCGAGCGGATAGCAGCTGCCACCTCAGAGGCAGCCTTGCATGCAGGTGTTCAGGAAGTGGTACCTCTGCCGAAAGCCCCTTCTCGACCAGCCCCTTCAAAGATGGCTGCTGCCGGTCGACAGCCACGTGGAAACCGCCTGCCAGAGGTGATTTCCGAATACAAGAGTACCTTCCTTCACCGTGACTTGGCCTTTTGCCAAGCCTCTCAAACTGCCAAGGCTGTTATCCTCTGAGGAAGCAGCCTTCTTTGGCGTGCCCGCTCACACCAAAGCCCTCACATGTGAAAAGCGGCAAGGAGCTGATGATGAGGGCCAGAACCCAATGAAGTTGTGTGCGAAGCTCGCCATCCTGAGGACAGAGGCGGAATTCGTGGAAGAGGCACTGAAGTTGAGTCACCCGTTTGACTCTTCGGAAGCGGTGACAGACGACATCAAGATGTACATCTTTGAAGTCCTCACTGAAGGGCCAGCGGCAATGGCAACCAAGCGGCAGAAAGCCTTGGAATACTATGCCAAAAGAGCTGTAGAACTTCAAGAAGAAGAGGAAAAGCTGCACGCCCAGCTGCCAGCAAATAGAAGAGCCTTGGTTGAGGACAAGAGAGGCCTTCTTTTGGCCGAGATGTGCCGTGATGCTGGTGTCCACGATGATGGTTTAGCAGACTTGCAACTGTCGGGAGCCCCCTTGACAGGGATTTCAGGTGCAACAGGCCTTTTCTCTCCTGTTGAACAACAACCTCCTGCCATGGATGACACCCAGCTCATGAAATCCTCGAGATGGAGTAGGAAGATGGTTGCAGCGAAGGATTCAGGTGTAGCAGATGTCAGCCTGCAGGAGGAGGTGTGGAACATCACCATGGACGAGGTGAAAAGAGGATGGCTCCAAGGGCCCTTGACAGAGCCCCAAGTGCGAAAAGAACTAGGGCCACTTTATGTGGTGTCACCGAGGTTCGGCTTGAGGCAGTCGGACAAAACTAGACCCATAGATGATATGTCGATCAGCTTGGTGAACTCGAGCTTCTCGGCAAGCTACCTTTTGGAATTGGATGGAGTCGATGGAGTGGCAGTTCTGGCAAGGACATTCGCAGGTGCAGTGGATGACAGTGGTACTGTTCGCTTAGCGCTCAGTGATGGCCAAGTCATAGAAGGCGAGCTTCATCCTTCCCTGAACTTGGATGAGGCCAGGAGAATTCTTGGTCGCACCTTGGACCTGGACTCGGCCTACAAGCAGCTGCTTGTGCGTCAGTCATCGCTATGGGCAAGCGTCTTGCAGGTGAGGAATCCAAGTGGTGAGCCTTTTCTCTTCATTTCGCAGGTGCTGCCATTTGGAGCTTCGGCCTCAGTTTACTGCTTCAATAGGTTTTCGAAAGCTTTGCAGATGATTGGTGCTCGCTTATTTTCACTTGCCTGGGTGTGTTATTTCGATGACTTCACGCAGTTTGATTTGGCTGCCATGGGTGACTCTTCGCAAATGACGGCGGAGAAGTTTCTGGATTTGGTGGGCTGGAAATACTCCGTAAAAGAAGCAAAACGAAAGCCTATGTCTCCCATTTTCTCGGTGCTAGGAGTGGATGTGGATCTGAGTGCCAGCAAGTCTGGCTTGGTTTTAGTGCGCAACAAAGAGTCGAGAGTTAACCAGATTCAGCTTGAAATCTCAGAGATTGTAAGCTCCAGAGCCTTCAGCTCCTCTACTGCCTCGTCTTTGCGTGGTCGATTGCAGTTTGCTGAAAGCCAGACTTTTGGGAGAGCTATCAGCTTGTTCATGCGCTCTTGCAACTCCAGAGCCACCGGGGCCAAGCCGGGCTCAAACTTGGATGATGACATGATGAAGGAGCTCCAATGGGCGAAGGGCTTCATAGCAGAAGATTGTCCACGAATCCTGAAAGTTGACCAAAGCAGTGTCAGAGTAGTTATCTTCACAGATGCATGCCTGGAAGACAACGACAGGACGGCTGGCATTGGCATGGTTGCCATGGTGTGTCGTGATGGCATTCCTACCAAAAAGTTCTTCCTCTCAGAGCGTGTGCCCAAGGAAGTGTTGGAAAAGCTTCAAGTGAACACGCCGAAAGTGATTGCTGGCCTGGAGCTTTTAGCTGCAGTGATGGCAGTTGATATACTCAAAGATTTTTTGGTAGCAAGGCGTGCCTTTCTTTTCATCGACAATGAAGCTGCGAGAGCTAGCCTTATTTCCATGTGGTCACCTATCTTCACTCATGCTCGAATGCTTCAACATCTTTGGGAGTTAGTGAGAAGCAAGTCGATCTTCATGTGGACGTCGCGCGTGCCGTCGCTGTCAAATGTGGCTGATAAACCATCGCGTTTCGAAATTGTACAGCTTGTGGAGGCAGGTTTCATCAGAATGCGACCCAAATGGCTGTAGCCACAAAGTTGTTGTCCCATGTATGCACAAGAGGGGAGTTGCCTGACATGGGTCAATGTTCGATGTGAACTTCATGTTGTGTTGGCAGTGCAAGATGTGTGCACTAGCTACCCATGTAGAATCTTCAATCGTGAAGGATGTGTGGCATTCCCAGCTCAAAAAGGACCAGGCACGTTCAGAGGTTGGGCCTGTTTTTGTGCATGCAACTTGATAGTGTCATGTGGTATGGCAATGACTTTCGACACGTTACAAAACACGTCTGAATGTCACGAAGTGCCACGCCTGCCACGCGAAACGCAAACATTACCCCTTTTGGAGAACTTGCCAGAGGCACGGCCATATAGCAATCGCGCGGACGGTTGCGAGTGGTTGCGGACGGTTGGGCAACGGGAACCCTTGCTACGCATTCGGGAAAGAAAGGGAAAGGAAGGGAACGGAAGGGACAGGAAGGGAAAGGAAGGGAAAGGAATGGAAAGGACGGGAAAGGAACGGAAAGAAAGGGAAAGGAAGGGAAAGAAAGGGAAAGAAAGGGAAAGGAAGGGAAAGGACGGAAAAGGAAGGGAAAGGAAGGGAAAGGACGGAAAAGGAAGGGAAGGAAGGGAAAGGAAAGGAGAGGTGAGAGGTTGATTTGGAAATCAGCCGCCGTCGCATGACCGTGCTCAAATGAGCTTGCTTGGCTATTGCACACTGTCACTCAATGTTTCCGCGCAGCGCTGAAATTACTTTACTTCGAGTTATCCCCACCATGATATTTATACGTTTTGTTACTGGCAAATCTTCTGGCATTCTATCTGACATATCTTCTGGCATTTTATCTAGCATATCTTCTGGCATTCTATCTGGCATATCTTCTGGCATTCTACCTGGCATATCTTCTGCAATATGTTCTGGCATATCTTATGGCATTCTATCTGACATATCTTCTAACACTCTATCTGGCATATCTTCTGGTATTCTATCTGGCCGTTGAGGTCCAGCAGTGCACACTGAGCTGGGAAGGTCCCAGGTTGAGGTCCAGCGGTGCACACTGAGCTGGGAAGGTCCCAGGTTGAGGTCCAGCGGTGCACACTGAGCTGGGCAGATCCCCAGGTTGAGGTCCAGCGGTGCACACTGAGCTGGTTTGGTCCCAGGTTGAGGTCCACCGGTGCACACTGAGCTGGGAAGTTGGCAAAGAGCTTGGCGAAGAGTTGGCAAGGCGGAAGTTGAGGTGGAAGTTGATGCAGACATGATCGAGGAGAAACTGGAGGAGGAGGCAGAGGAGGAGGAGAAGGCGGAGGACGAGGAGGAGGAGGACGAGGACGAGGAGGACAGCTAGCCGAGGAGAACAACTCTGATAAAATCAAACAACCCTCACCTGGCAGGTGGGGAAAAATGAAATTTGCAGTGAATGCGTCCATAATGTTCATCTTCTAAAAAGAAGCTGGCAAGAGGCGAAAAAGAAATAAACCAATTATCAGTATTACTCAAATTTGTTTGCTGTCGTTTTGCTTTTGGGTTCTCAGGCCCCCCCTTGTTTTTTTTTCCTTCTCCTTTTGGTTCGTTCACGGTGCGCAGGAAGTAACAGTATGGTGATCAACATAGCATCTAAATCAACAGCTGGTAGTCATCTAGTCCATCTAGTCATTTTTTCAATTATGTAGCATCGCCGGCAATCCGTATTGAAGGGGCATGATTCTGTGACGTACATGTACGACAGTTGCGATCCACATGAACAGGAACATGCTCCCAGTACAGCTGTACAAGTGACGAAGAATGTGCAGCTTGGTCTGCAAGAAATGATTCTCTTAAGCTGTTGAGAGCATTGCTCTGGTGCTGGAAAAAGTGGGTTACTGCCGTCTTCCAGACATCTAAGCATCCATGTATGATCATTCGTTAGCACCTTTTTGGTCAGACTCCGCCAGGAATTATCATGAATCGAAGACTAAAGATCCGTACTACAACATCTTTTTTGATAGAATCACTCTGGCAGGGGCCGCATGATGTGGAACACAACAATGGAGCCGCCCAGTGCAACGGTGTGAGGTCAAATTGTTGAATATTAGCGAAGCAAGCTGCATGCTACCAGGCGGGGCAACTCTAAAGCGTGTCCTAGGGAAATTGGCCTTGCGGTAAGACCGTTGGAGGGACTGCCCCTTTGCAGCCATTTTACATCATTTGCTTCGAACGTAAAATCTTTCTCCCTTCTGCTTGTCAATCATTTACAGAAACATCTTCCGTGTTGTTGCATCCGAGCGTGGACATGCAGCGGTGCTCTTTTATGATTTTGTGGTGGGGTCGACAGGTTGGAATTGCTATTGTGGCTGGGGCTACGCTGTGAAGCATGGCCTTACAGGTTACGAGACTGACTCGGCGAAATGCATGGGCTCCTTGGCTATGATCGGCTTCACATGGAAGAATTTGTGACATTTGAAAACAGACATTTGACGACAGCGAATCCTTTCCGTCTGCCCCCAGACTCTCATGCCAATGGCTTTGATGTATATATAATTAATTACATATATATCTATATATTAATTAATTAATTAATTAATTAATTAATTAATTAATTAATTAATTAATTAATTAATTAATTATTATATAATATGTACATATATATATATATATTCAACTGTATAGCTCACATCACAAGATGACCGTGAAGATTTTTAGAGATTGTCACATTGTCTGTTTCCATCATCCTTTGAAGATCCTCAAAGCGCCAAGTTTTGAAAGGTGTGGTGTATACCTTCTCCATGTGGGCGTCCAGAGTCATCGAGTTGTTGAGACCTGGTTGAATCAGATTTTTTGAGAACCTGAGAAGAGTTCACAACTTTGAACAGTTTCATTTTCAACACTGGATTTCGCTGTATTTGCTTGCTGGCATGCAAAGAGATCCAAATCACATCGTTGGATGGACGTGGTGACTGCTTCTTTTGCCACGTCAAATGATATAAGGGCTAGGACTTGTTACAGTCAAATCGCGGTCGTTTGAGGTTGGTGAATCTTTATCGTTATTTTCTAGCATTGGCGCTCCTACTCGTGCCCTTCGGAAGAAAGCGAGCAATTTGTGACCATCACAGGCAGCTTGGATTTGCAGACCTTTTCCAGAGTTTTACGGCCAAGGTTGCACACAAGCGAAAAGATACAAGTCATTGGTGCTGCAGCAGAGTCATAACCCTGAAGTACCAGATGTCCTGTCAGTCCTGCTCGTCTATCTGGAGTCTAGTTTTTCAGACTGAACTGACAAGCAAGAGACGAAAGGATAGAGTCCATCCGTCCATCCATACTATCTTGTCTTATTTTTGTCTTATTTTTGTCTGATTTTTTGTCTTATTTTGTCCCATTGTATTCTGTTTTCATGTTTATGTCATTGTCACAGTCTAACCATGCTTAGCCTATGTTATACAGCATCGTAGCCTATCTTATTGTTGTCCTTATTCCATCGTATGTAGAATCCGATCTTGTCTTACCGTGATCGCATCCTTTTCTAGCCTCAGTCTGCCAATGGGTCTACCTGTCCATGTGCCTTTACATTCTTCATTTCCGTCTTGCGACATGTTTATAATACGACTGTCTTATTTGGAGCCTTTTTCGAAGTAACCTGCGCGAAACCACAGTAAAATGCATGAATAAATACGATGCAATTACTGGGATTTCCATAGCTAGTGCTTAGGAAAAGTTCCAGGATTTCCCTGGTGGGGCGAGCCTGAAGCCAGAGATCAGGCTTTCCTTGGCCGTAGAAAATTCCTTTCCAAGGCCCGGGCTTTGGAACATTTTTCGCCGTATGGTGGGCATGTTCCTTGGCGCAATCCTATCTTATTCATTCTTGTGCTAGGAATTTCTAGGATGAGAATTGGCAGGAAAGGACAGGTTATAGATTTATAAGCTGTACTAAACAGAAAGAGGCGAAAATGGCTCAGAGAAATGTGCCGCCAGGCCAAGCACCTGCCCGGGTGATTGTGTGCTGCCTTCCCAATACAGCAGCGATTCCTTCATGGATGATTTGGCTGCTTGGAATCACTTTCAGTTCCTGGTGAATGAAATCCAGAATTGAAGGCTTCTTTGATCATACCATATAATAAGTATTAGTGTTGTCAACGTCTCTTGGGACGTAGACGATTTATAGCGTTTGACGATTTTGACGTTGTCAGGCTTGGAGCATCTACGTGGTTGAGCTGATGTGCTGGGCATATTTATTTTGTGTCTCTTGGTACCTGGTATACTTCATGTGAAAAAAGTCTTTCTTTTCAGTTTGAGTAAGGCATGACAATAGGCAAGATGCCATCAGATTTCCATAGAACTCATAAGCAACGACTCCACTGCTTCACCAATGAAGGTAGTGATTTACCTCACGGTCCTCTTCCTCTGGTCCGTGATTCTGTGGTAACTTGACTTGGATCGAGTCTTGCACATTGAAGCCACAAGACTAATGCGAGCTCTCACAAACCGAAGTTGCATATCTGCAGATCCGATCCTGAGGCTCTCAGTGCTGCTGCTCTTTGCTGCAGCAGCCTTCTTTGCAATCTGTGCCTGTTGCGCAGAGGGCCTGGCTGGCTGTGCAGATTGCTGTGCTGGTGCAGGCAGTGGGCTGCACAGCTGTGGTCCTCCGGACCTCCTTGAAACTGTCGGAGTGACTTGCACGACTTGCATGACTCGCAGGTGGCGGCTGCGTAGCCGACTGTCCTTGCGGCTGTGATTGCTTTGGGGCAGGTTTTGCTCATGGCTTTGCTCATGGTCCCCTGGAGGCATGTGGACCTGTCACTATTTGGGCACACCGGCGACGCTGCAGAATCCAGGAAAAAAACCAGTAGTTTGAAGTAATCATAATATGTAATATGTAATATGTTTCCCATTTGGTTCCCATAATTTGCTGACAGAATTTGTCATATCGAATATCCTGCAGTGCTATGACGACTTTGGTGAAACTGCTATTGCCAGTCGGAAGTAAAGCTGGATGTCAAGACCTGAGGGTTTTTGACTCGTCAGGCAGAGATGTTCTACTTTGGTGGCACCTTTCCTCACGATCCCTTCTGGACGTTGAATGGCTCCTGTGAAGAACTGGACACGCTGTTCAATGTCAGTTTGTGCTGACTGAAAAGTTGTTTCCGGCGATTCAGTGCCAGAGAGTCCAGCGAGATTGCAAAGAGGCCAACCAATCAGTGTCCTGTGGTCTGAAGTCCTTCATGTGAGACAGTCTGTTTTTGACTTAGCCCTGTTCTGAGCTTACGTATATAACATGAGACTGGTCATTGGTAGCTTTGCACACCGCAATTTGCCTGACATCTCAGGATATGGAGGAGCAACTCGTGGTGATTCAGACTGCTGCTGCTGCTGTTGCAGGTTAAGAGAGCTGTGTCTTCCAATCGCCGCAATGGTCTATGTATTTCCAGTCCGGCACCCTGGCGGTTGCAACGGGGATCCGGGGCTACATCAATCGGCAGCGCTCAGGTCCTTCCAGAAAATGCGTGGGGTGGCATGGTTGGGAACCTTGACTTGGTCTTGTGAAAGACTGTCAAATGCATAAATGTGTGGATATCGGCCTCACTCCCAAGTTTGCATGGTTTAGAGCTCTGACTAAGCGTCCAATGTTTTGGGTCCACGATTACCTAACTGACAGATTGCCTTGACCTGACAACATCATGACACTTGAGCAGCGTTCAAAAATGCCTCAAGCAAATTTTCTCAGGGAGTCAGCCTACGGTGTTTCCGCGAAAGGAAAATAGCTGGGCACGAAAGCTCGCGAAAGAGCCTTTCGGAAGAGTGTCAGAAGACATTCGTCGCGAAAGTACACTTCCCCACAAAACATGTTCTCCGCGAAAGCGCCGCGAAAGTAAACAACAACAAAGATGTCCCCGTGAAAGCTAAAACTGTGGTCGCGAGAGCTCCGCGAAAGCCGCGCGAAAGCAATTCTATACAGTAGGTTACCCTCTGGTAATTTAACATAACTATGGAAAATCACCATTTTTCATGGGAAAATCCACTATAAATGGCAATTTTCAATAGCTATGTTAAATTACCAGAGGGTAACCAATTGAATCAGTTGATACTAAGTGTTTTCGAACACGGCTCACTTGTACCTTGGCATCTGAGGTATTTGTGCCTGGGCACACACCAGTGGACTCCAGTGGAACGAATGTACACTGGAGGCAACAGAGTTGTTGACTTTTTGGGTATGGGCTGGCGACGAAATTCTGACTTGCACAACGACCAGGACCGCGACCCAAAGGCAACCAGACTGAAGTTCCTAAAGTTATGAAAGTTCCTGCTTCAGATGCATTGGATCAGGACTGGAGGTCGCGAGTCTTCGATTTTCTGGCAGGCGATCCATTGCCAGTGTCAGAGGCTAGGTGACTTTCACTTCGCAGTGGATGATGTTTGACTTCTATGGATTTCTTGTATGCTTTGCTTTGTGTTCGCCTTGCTTCCATTTTTATTGCTGTTCCTTGTTGTACCATGGCACACGGTAGAAGGCTTTTGTTTGCTGATTGAACCTTTGCTACAGCGACTTGCTCTTTCGAGCTTGCGATGTCTGAGGCATACTCTCCTCGCACTAGCAGAGATGATCCGCATGCACATCTTCTCAATGAGTACATGGCAAATGGCAAGCAGGCGAGCGATGGCGTTGATGGTTTAGGACCTGCAGTCTGATTCAGTTTGATTTTCCCTGATAGACCCTTGACATCACTTAAAAGCTTGCAAATTGCTATTGCAAAGTCACAGTAATTCTATTGCCATTGTTGCCTGTCTGTCCAGGTGGTACATGTTGGTTTGGCACGGGCAGTACTGATCAAGCGACCCCTTGAGAAAGGTCGCGACAAGTCCCTTGACTTGAATTTGACTATTTCTCTATGCTTCACTTAAGGCAGCTAAATTTCGCATCTGAACCCAAAGATGCCCATGATGCAAGACCAAGTTCAGTCATACCGTGCTTTTGGCAGGTGCGTTCCATCTTCCTTTGAAGACTACTTGCAGCTTCTTGGTACCGGTAGTCTCGATCCGATTCTTGTGTTGTGGCCATTCAGACTTCTTTAACATTTGGACAATTTCAACAATCATTTCAAAACATCTTCCATCATCTTCCACACTTCAAACAAACCGTCAGAAAACAGCTATGGGATGTCGAAAACTGAGGAACACTTGTTGGATTTGCCGAGAGGAGTCGGACGAATGGGACCTGTGGGTCTCCTGTCATCATTTGTTCTGCTCACGATGCTCCAGTCAGATGCTGATTCGGCGGATGCCCTGTCCACTGTGCCGAGTGGCCTCCACCACCGTGCTTCGAGGCGAGACATGTGAAAAATCTGGATGGATCGTACACTTGGAGATGGGGTTACCATTAGTTTATCAGATCTCAAGCAAACAGTTTAGATCAGTTTAGTCTATTTTAGTTTACATATTTTTGGGCAAAAGATCAACAAGCACAACAAGCGACACGGTGAAGGAGTTTCCACACCAAGTACATCCCTTACCCTACTGAGTGCCACATGCCATTGTTTGCAGGTGCATCTGCGCTGCCTTCTGCGGCCTTTCGCCAGGTTGGATATTCTTTTCTTTGGTCCGGCGTTGTGAGTTGGCCATTTGACAATTGAATTTCCTAGAGACTTTTCACACCTTTCCTCCCCTTTTTTCCATCCCACACTTTTTTCTTCCCAAGTTTTGGCCTGATCCACCTCCAGGGAAATCCTGCAAATCGGCAATTCACCTCGTCAGTGCCAAAGCAGGTCAGAGCTCAATACAAGTGATGAACCATGACTTTATATGATTTTATATGACTTTATCATACAATAGGCTTGTCACTTTTATTTTTAAAAACTAAATGGTGCTCCGTCCTTTCTGCATGCGCTGGCTGCCCTGGCTGCCGGCGATCAGGGGCTTGGGAGCCAGCTTCCACCGCCTCCGACGGATACACAGGCCATACTTCAGCCAATCTTAGCCATAGGTTTCTGGGTTTCTGGCGCTTTTCTATGCTTTTGTTGTTGAAGATTTCAGGTTGTGGCCAACAGGTCGCGGCAACTGGAGGCGATGCCACGTCACCCAGAGCTTGGTCCACTTTTTTCATTCGTAGTAAATGTCACAGGCTTTTTACTGATCTCATTGACTCATGCATTCAGCAGTTATGAAGTACATTGAAGTACTAGATGAAGTACTGAGATCAGTTGTTTTCTACTGATCTCATGCTTTTTTGTTCAACTCGGAGCAGTGAGTCGAGTGATACGACCGGCGGCACAGGCGGCACAGGCTCCGCCAACAGCACTTCCAAGAGCACAACAATCAAGGCGACAGCAGCTCACATGCGAAATTTGGACACTCAACCGGTTACCGATCTGATGGAAGCTGCAGGCCAGTGACTCCGATGGACATGGAAACGTCTGTGGCCTCTTGACTGACAGAATCAAATCATTTGAATATCTTAGAACATCTTAGAATATCTTATAGAATATGTTAAAGAATATCTTACAGAATGTAGATGACTAGAGATTCAAATCACCTGGGACCAGGTGGACTCACAAGGGTTTGTGCCTTGTCTCATTTCTGAGGCAATTCCAAAGCTTCCAACGCCAAGCGCCAGATCCAAAGAGCATGAAGCTCCACGTGTTCAGGAGATGCCTAAGGCCCCGATGCTAAAGTTCTCTGAAGGGATGGAGCCCTTGCAATCAAAGCTTCTAGTTATTCTAGTTTCCTGGCTTATAAAATTCAGCATTTCCAAGTATTCCAAGTATTTCCAAATTGTCAAAGCTATGAGTTGTCCACTTGAAATCATGAATAGCAACTGCTTGTAGCATCAGGAACTTCAGCTATTTGTCTGGCAGGCAGCAGCCGTTGGAGTACCGAAAGCGGCAGTGATATCGTCAGTTCAGCCATCAGCTTCGCTGGCTTCTGCAGCTTTGCCGACCTCAGCTGGCACGAATGTGGCGCGAAGAAGTCCAACACAGCAGGCAAGGCTGAAAATGCTGAGGGGGGTAGTAGCTGATAGTAGCTGGAAAATCCATGAACATCTACTACGCAATGTGGAGAACCTTGAATAGCAGAAATCCGTACATACACAGCCCTTGTTTTTTCACGAGTTTGTGGAAGATGCGCAACTTGTCTGCTGTGCGGGCATGATCTGCGAGAGTCATCCTGAGTCGCATTGCGTCATGCAAGGTGCTTCCTTCGGAACCCAAAGTTGCAGCAGTGGCAGCAGTCGCAGCGGTAGCAGTGGCAGCGCCAACCTCAAAGGAGCTCTTCCAAGAAGCTCAGCCAATGGAGCATGCAGCGGGCCCTTCAGAATCTAGCCAGGTGCATTGTGACCCGCTGGGCCAGTGTAGGCACTTTGAGTTGTTTGTTGATAGAACAGCTGACGATAGCTGACCATAGCCAGTTGTGACTGCAAGACTAAGCTTTTAAGAAGAAATAGCCTTTAAGGCCCTGATGCCCCCAGGCAGTGGTTGCTGCGACCACAGTCCATGCTCTCTCTGGGGCGAAGCGGCTGCAAGGCTTCAAGACAAGTACAGCTGGGGCTCCTTACCGGCTTTGCAAGGCACATATTCCAAAATGGCACCTGCATTTACAGATGCATATACTGTGGAGATCTTTGGACACTGCCACTGATTTGCCTCGCTTACAAGACGAGACAGACGAGACAGTGTGTTGAGATTCGAGCAGGTGAGACCTGCTCTAGAAGTACTAGCCCAAATTTGCGAGTGCCCTCCTCTCTCTGGAGTGGCAATTCCGGAGCAGGAGGCGGTCAACAAAGTCTTGACTTCAACAAGCCCAATAAGACCAGTGAGTCTGCAGAAGGCTCAGATCCTCTGAACCCAGTGGAAGTGATGGCTCAGCCAAATGACACGCTCAGGTCTGGTATGTATTTGCTCCGGAAAATAAGGCCTGGCCAAGAGCCCTGGAAGCAAAAATGGAAAAAAGAAATGAGGACGTGCGCAGTGGCATGATGGATTCCATCCTAAGCCAACTCTAATTGGGCCAAGGAGCAACCTAGCATACTTGCGAGCACAGCCGGTATCATGAATCTTTGACGCAATTTTGCGACATTGCGAGTCTTCAGTTTTGAAGCCATTTCCACTAGATTGACAAAGGGTGCACGAAAACAAAAGGTGAGAAATGACAGGTTTTTTTCAAGCGTTAAATCTTGAAGACCAGTGGGGGCAGCTGAGCCGTGATCCGAGGTTTCTGCGACATCGAGCAAAGAGTACGGGCTGCAAGGACAACGGCAGTTTTGGACCTTGAAAGTCTGTGAGAGCTGCAGTTCCTCAGTCACAAGACATGTCGGAGTATGCACCAAGAGCAACGAAGAATAAAGAAACCATAAGAAAACATTAGAAAACAATTTCTTTGGAAAACCGATCGAGGGCTGAATTTGAAGGAATCGGCTCAGTCGTTTGGACAAGCCGATGCTTTACCCGGCCTCAAGTGCCTGGAACATGCCAGCCCAAGCGCCTTGGCCTGGTGCGTGTTTTCTGCCTCTTGGATCCCTTTTGAGATCAACAACTTGCCCAAGATCCGATCCAACAATTTCAGGCTTTCAGAGGCTTTCAGAGGCTTTCAGAGGCTTTCAGAGGCTTTCAGAGGCTTTCAGAGGCTTTCAGAGGCTTTCAGAGGCTTCTGAGCAAACAGTCTGTATTAGTTCCAATTCAGGTAGCGAGGCCGTGCGCTTTGACGCTCCAAAGCTCACTGAGCTGAAACCTCAGTCGTAGATGTCATGGAATGCAACATAGATTAATGTGGCGCCAATAATCCCACAACTGGGAGGTCATTATTGGGTTTGCCACATCCACAGATTTTCACCTGGTGGCCTCAGGTTGGCAGCCTCCCACAGGGTACTTTCCGGAAGCTTACGCTTGAGAAATCGACACACTAGCTGTGCTGGAATTCTGTTCAGAAGGCATCTGAAGACTACATAAGTTCAACATGTACAGCCGCACAGCCAAGCCATGTCCATGTCTTCAAGCCAGGTGGATCCGCTGTGCCAAAGGCCAAATCACGAGATTCCAAATCAAAGAGCTTGGCTGTGCAAATCAGGACTCCAATATCCTGAAACTGCCAGAACTATGCCTCGGGCCCAAAGAATTCCTGGCCTGCCATAGATTCGAAAAAGGCACCATCTGTCAGCTATATAATATCATAAAGATTCATAAAGAATGAGTTCATTCTGCATGTAGCAAGTCTTGTGCGAATGTGTGCAACTTTGTATACTTGAATTGAGTGACTGCTGTCGGACACTGCAGCTGTTTGGCTCAAATCTACAGTTGGCTTGGAGAGCCACACCTGCGGAGTTGTCTCGAGAATCTCGAGATTTTCGACTCCCCAACTGTAGACCAACCATGAATTTGCGAAGTGTTAGCCTGGCCAACCTGATTGTGCTGCTTATGGGAGCAAGCTCCTTGCTCCAAGGCTGTACACCAGCTTCTGCAGGAGGTCAGATGGCGCCAAGCCTCAAGGGATCACAGATCATGTCTCCAAAGGTACACGGAACTTGTGTCGCAGCACCACAAAATCCACTGCGCTGGGGAGTTGATCACAAGAAAGCCGACGAGATTGGCTGTTTCAACCGGCACCTCGCAGAGTTCCCGGGCTCCTGGGAAAGCACCAAATTGCCGGCAGAAATGGCAAACCAATCAGCTGAGAACTCCACGATCATGTTCTATGACTCTGTCACAGGCAAACCTCTTTTCGAAGCCCCAAAGGGCAGAACTTGGTCAGACTTCCACAGAGAATGTACTGTCCATGGTTGGCCGTCCTTCAGGGATGATGAGGTCGTAGTGGAGAATGTCAGAGTGCTTGCAGATGGAGAGGTGGTGAGCCTAGCTGGTACCCATCTGGGTTTCAACTTGCCCAATGGCAGAGGAAACCGCTATCGAATCAATGTGGTTTCTATTGCTGGAAAGCCCACTGAGTGAGCCGGAATTCAAACATATGTTCCTTTCTGGTCAAAAGGAATATGGCTAGGCATGCCTAGGCTATATTATACTTGTTTCATCTGATTCCATTTTAATCTACTGTATATCAGTATATCACTTTGTCTCTCTCTCTCTCTCTGCCTATATGTATACACACGCATATATGTAGTATATATATATATATACGTATATATATATATATTATATATATATCCATGTTCACTTGCCAGCGAGGCTTTGACCAGTGCTCTAGTTATATAGTGACTCTAGTGTTTATTTAGGAACAATGCTGTACCCCGCAGAGGATACCGTGCGTATTCTGCCCTCGTGCAGCATGCTCCTGGCACTGTCCCAAAGGGACAGATGGACTTTTGACTTTTTTGTTGTTGATTGCTCCTTGAGCACTGAGCAACCCTGTCTTCCAATGTGCCACTTGGTCCTCAGTGCAATGGGTCACGGGCGATTGGCTCGTCGCCACCCTTGCATCCATTTTGACCGAAGCGAAGTGTTTACTTTTTTCTTCGTGCCTTGCATGCTGTTTGCGCTGCTTGGACATGAAGCTCTACGGTCGGAGTTGGAGGCTTGTTGATAAAACCGCCCTTTGCGTGTTGCCTTTCCATGGGGTTCCTTCAACGTAACAGCAACACTGCTTCAGCACACAATCTCCTGGTTCAGGCACAGTATTACGACGAAAATACAAGAAGTGTAAAGTGCACCAGAGAAACCCGAGGAAGCTGGGTTCGTTTTTTCCTACTTGCAGATTCCGAGTTGTATTCTTCAGGTTTCTGCACTGATTAATCATTGGCATCTAGGTAGCGTGGCTGAGATTCCTCCATGTCAGCCTATTGACTTTTAGATTCTTGGGGATGGTGGAAACTGTCAATGCTGTGTGCAACCTCTGTTTTTTCACTTGAGGCATGTCCGCACTGTGGTCAGATGTACCTACCCCATGCGCTCTTCTGTCGGAGCTGCCAGATGAAGCGCAACCTTCCAGAGGTGCCACGACATGAATTAGTCAGCAGACAAATGGCTATAGACATCTATTGACGGTAATGGTAATGGTCCCACCTCCTCCCAGCGAAGATTGCAGGTTTTGGACAGGTTGCCACACGCACACCGCAGGTCCGGGGCAGTGATTAGGCCATTAGGCGCCGCAACAAAAGCATGCACAAATATGCACAATGAATCACAATGATATAATTAATGATCCAAGTTTTTTTTGACTGTTTTCTTTCAACATGTTTCAACATTAAGTCTGATTGCATCGACTAGGGGAGCAATCATCACCCCATCAATGCGCCTGCGACTTCCTGCCACAAGGCGATCACAACCGGCCCAACCTTTGCAGGCCAGGCGATGCCACAACTGACCATACAGTTTTCCAATGTTTTCACCCAAGTTTTTGTTGTTTATGGTTGTTTCTGGTTGTCGTGCAGTGATTTATTCAATTTATTCTGATTTCCGCAGAACGGGACTTAGGACCCAAGGCACGATATGGTCGATATGGTCGATACGTGCCGTGCTGCAGCCTGGGGAGGTCTCTCGTTCCCTGGTTTTCGACAAGGAGCTGGCTCGCTGGGACTCCAGGCGCAGTCGAGTGGAGTTGGCAAATGCAACATGTGACTGAAGTATACTGAAGTGTGATTTGCCCAAAGGCAAGCCAATAATGAGATATTTTCTTGAGATATTTCTCATGATTTCTCCTTCAATAATAACCTCCCAATACTGGAGATCTTCCGAGAAATTTCTGTCGCGGCTCAGACGTTCTTTCCCCAGGGCTGAGCAGCTGGAAGCGCGCTTTCGAAGGATCAATGGTCATGCCTTGGCCTTTGAAACAAACTGCCAGGTGCAATCATTGCCAAGTCATGCCAAGTCCCAAGAAAAATGGGTCATAATAGTTGTAAATAGTTTTGTAAATAGTTTTGTAAATAGTTTTGTAAGATGGTGTCAAAATTGAATTGGAAGGATACTTTTCAACGATATTCGAACCTTCAGAAAGAATTACTGCGAATCTTCTAGTTTTCTGAGATTCTCTGCCCTCAGGCCCGACGCTAGCGGCCTGGTTCTCAAGCCTCCTGAAATGTGAGCGAAATCGCAGCTGGGAATTGTGATGCATTTAATGTTGCAGATTTTCAAAGCACCTATGTGCTTCATGTCACCAAATTCCAGCGCTGCGCACGTTTGTTTGAGCTTTCCAAAGCGATTGCCATGATAGCATGAAAAGGGCAGCAAACGAAGGCCAATGCTAACCTCAGGTTGCTTAATTAGAGCGGCCAGAGGAAACCAGACTCTTTGCGTTTGAAAAGCGGCTAGCCGCGGCGAGTCGGAATTTTCAATGCTGAGCAATGCGTTTGACATCGTTTGACCGTTTGGACCATGGTGATTCAATGTGATTCGTCGCTGTTCACTTCACTTCGACCATTTTTGACTCGATATCAAAGACGTATGACATCTCAGTAGGCCCCGTAGGCCGTAGGCCATGGACAACTCTGAGAGACTCAGTGAATTCCGAAGTCTTCTTAGATTACCTATGATTACCATTGATTACCTGCATTTCATTCATGTCAAATTCTAGCTTATTCTAGTGATTCTAGTCACTTGTGGAATTTGAACTTTGCCGCCGTTGATATCCCTCGATGTTCGATTGGGATGCTGTCCCTGATGACATCGCCAATTACGTGGCAGTGGAGCGGCTGAGTTCCGAGGATGAGCTACACGAAGAGAGGGAATCCCCTGAGAAACTCGGCACAGCTAGGAATGGCAGATATGACAGCTACTTGCGTAGATGTTTGTCGATGAGTTTGTGAGAAAAGCTCAAGAGATGGAACTTCCGGTGTATGAACTTCCGGTGTATGATTTGTCTTTCGGAAACCAAAGTCATTTCCTCCAAAGTGATGAAGATATGAAGTGATGAAGATACATTCCAATTATTTCCAATTCAAGCAATGTCCTCCAAAGAGCCGAGCTATGCCGAGCTCCACTCTTTTCATCTCTCAGCTTGAGGAACTCCAGGAACTCGAAGCCTTTCTGCTACGAGCTCGATGGTGTTGCATTGTCACCTTCCAAGAGCACATCCTCGTTGGTTCCGTTGGCTCCGTTGGTTCCCATCGAGACGGACTTCTCTCCTGCAGAGCTCGAGACAATTCGTTGGATGATGCAGAAAGTCAGTCTACGCCAGGACTTGGACTGAAGGGATGACTTGGATGGACTTAGCGGATGGTGATGGGAATCCGTGCCCGTCAAAAGAACTACAAAGCACTGCAATACTTTTGAGATTTTTGAGTCTTGCTGGATTTTTCAGAGTCAAGTCATGCATCTCAGTTGCATCTAGGACAGGTTTATATTTTGAGCCAAGCAGCTTAGCCTCTTAGCAGCAGGCCCTTTGAATTCTTTTGAAAGGTTTGCGTTGGATTCTGATTTCCCTCTCATCCGCGAAATTTTCAGGACATGTTTTTGCTTGGCCCACCTGGAGGGTAGCTCGGCAGGAACGGGGTTAAAGGGATGGTCCCATGGCTCTTGCTTCTGTAAATCTAGTTGTTCATCCATGTCACGCTAGGATTTTATATGATTCAATATGACTCAATATGATTCAAAATGTCTGTGTTCCGAGGCTCATCAGGTCTGCGACTGAGACGACGGAGAATTGACACTAGGGCACTGCTGGCACCAAGTTTCAAGGTGTTGTCTAAGAGGCAAGATACGAACCAGGTGGATCAACAAACACTGGAACACTTTGGAACACTTTAAGCTTGGCAGCTTGGGCCTCTTTTCACCTCATTTCAACTAGCAGCCCTAGCACTAGCACATTCCGCTGTGTGAATAAACTTGAGGACTTGCCCTGAGCTTTAAAAAGCTTAATTCCCAGTCCCGTTTCGTCCTTGACCCAGGCACCTGGTCTTTCGGTTTTGCTCCCTTTTCCAGCGAGAGGCGGAGCTTTATGAAAATCTGCTGTGTGTGGGATCATGTCACAAGCTGGCAACATTTCCAGGTGGAGTATGTGGGCATCACGGCTGACACCAGTGAGGCGGATGTCGTTTTGTGGACATGTGCTGTGCCGCTTGTTGTGCTTTGTCTTTATTGCGTGCCATCGTCAAAACATGTTTTTTTTTTTCCACCAAAGAGGATGGCCATCCCCGAAAGGGATTCATATATGTATATTGTGTGCAATTATATAATATTGTGTATATATATAATTTTCATGTCATATACCAATTCATTAATTCATCACATTCATGATGGTGGGATAACTAGGCACTATTCATCCTAACTTGGGCATGGCACATGTCGTGGGTTGCAATGGAAAACGCGCCATGGATCAACTCATAGCCTGAAGGCTGATCTAAAGCAGCGAAGGGAAATTCGCGGTGGTCAGGGGGCCAAAGTGGGACGGTGATCTCTGCTGTATTTCGACAATCATTGGATTGGTTTAAGGGAAAATCTACAGGAAACCATGGTTTTTACCGTCAAATATAGGGCGTTCCTGTAAATTTTCCCATCATCCAAATCTATGAGACAAGGGTTTCAATAAAACTGCTGTCATCCTGTCAACTATGCACCTCCATTTTAGTTTACAGAATTTATTGCGAGCAACTTGTGCGAGCCCTACGCACAACATCACCGGACCTGCACTGCTTGTTGGAAGAAGATTAATGCCTTTGGCGCATTGGCATGAGTTAACATCAGTCTTCATCAGTATCTTCCAGTAATCTTCGAGTAATTCCGAAGAGTCGGCTTCGCTCTGGGCTTCAGCTTCAGAACCCTTTCCGGCATAATAGACCCGGAGCAATGGCCGCAGAAGAAGGATCAACTTCCCCCATGTCATCCACTACTGAAGGAGTTGGGCTGGGGTGAGAGAAGGACGAAAACTTCAGTTGAATATAAAAACAACAGAGTTTTGTGTATTTAGGTTCCCAAGTTTCATCAATTTCCCTGGCATAAAAGCGAAGGAGAGTGATGAGTCGTCTCGGTGTTGTGTTCTTGGCCTCGCCGGGGTGATATCCCTGCCAGGAACAATGCGTGAAGCTCTTACATCTAGTCGACAGGAGCCGTGGGTTTTAGATTTGATCCGCTCTTTGGAAAATAGACTCTGTTATATTATCACACCATAATATAACCATTAATACAACCATTAATATAACCATTAATATACCATAATATAACCATTATATAATCACCATAATATAACTTTAGGTTTGATCAACTCATCACCACTCCTTTGCAGTGGACTTATCGCCATTTTTCGATATTTCTTCATCAGCCGACAGATTTTGCTTGCTGTTTTTGGAGGAGTCCAAGCGCTGTAGACGAGAATTCTCAGCATCATGGCAGTATTTAAGTGGCTTTAGCTTGACGCATTTTTTTTGTGATGCGTAGAACATGTTTGGAAGGCACCTTGATAGACTACTACAGGCATGAATCAACATGATCGTTTAGTGTGATTCTCCGCCAAATCACAAGCTTTTGATGGTGCCGTGCAAGGCCGTGCAAGCTGCACATTTCCGTGATGTCTAATTTTGATCATTTTGGGTCTGAGGTGATGAGTTGGACGCTGGCCATAAACCATGCCACGGTGACAACGCCAATTCTGTTCGCCTCATCGGTGCTGACCAATTCGAATGGTCAAGCTGGAAATGCAATGTGCAACGCCCAGCAATGCAGATTTGGCGATCCTGCTCACTCAACAGTTCTGGAATCCTTTAGGGAAAACCAAGGAGATGTTCGTGCTAGAGTTGACTGCACCCAGCATGTAAATCTGGAAGTGTATCAAGAGCCTCGACGTGAGATATTTCTACCCATTGGGACAGTGAGAAACCAAACGGAAGAGTTTCCGACAGAAAAAAGCAGCACAGCCCTGCAGGCTTTATGGCGCCACATTAATTTGCAGCCTCTTCTTCTCCACCCTGATCTTTGGAGTTTTGGGCTCCAAGAAGGGCCTTTCTCTTTCCATGGGACTGTTACTCGGCCAAGGCCATGTTGTCTGACAGGTGTAGGTACAACAGCCCAGGATTATCCAGGTTACGCAGGTTGATTCAGGGATACAGATGGATACAGTATATCCATGTATATCCCTATTTCTGAGCTGAGGTATTGCGTTTACGTTGGCCTTTTTGCGACCGCTGCTTTGATGTGTGCAATGGGCTTAGTTGATCATTGGCACTGTATTCATCATGACAGCGTGCGACTTTGTCGTCTCTCTGAGAAGCCAGAATTCATGAAAGATCATGTAAGCTGTGAAACAGGTGCATACAGGCGCACAGTCCTTTGGGATATAAATCTGCTGCAAGACTTATTCGTTTGCACCAGGAGGAAAAGGTTGATGGCTCCTGCGTCAAGAGCAACTCCTACCAACTGATAATAAACTTGGCAGGGGCCTTTGTAGGTGGGGGACTGAATGAGTGCAACCATGTGCCACTCGGAGATGGAACTATGATGAACTATGAAACCTGGCGAAACTTGCTTATTCAACATCCTGTAAGGTCTTGTTGTGACAAACTGTACTCTCGAGGGAAGATCGACGGTATTTCACCAAGTTTGATTGTTCGCCAATGCCTTTGCCACGCTTTGTAATCGCATAGCGTGAACAAGACAGACTTTGCATGTGAGCAGAGGATAAACTCACCTTAACCCAACATTATCTTCTCCAAATCCAACATGTCTGGCATGAAAGGTATGTCCCTTGATGTCACTTGTTCCCTACAACTAAAAAGCGTTTTTTCATGTTTTGAGACTCTTTATGGCAGTTTTGCTGCTTGGCAGGTGGAATTGGTGCTGGTATTCTTTGGACTTGCCAGGGAGCCTTTTTCTCGTCCATTTGTGAGCGCGTGGCTGTGGCAGAGGACCGCGAGGCGATACGGCACGAAACCAGACGAAAAGTTGCAGTCCAAATTTGACGTGGTAAACCCACAGTAAACCTTCAGTTTTAGAGGGTATATTCTGTTTCTACATGTCTATACTACCCATTTGGTGATGTTGGGGATGGGCTATTGCGGGCTTTTTCTCCTGATTCCAAGCCCTCAGACTCCCAACGTCACCGCTGAGCTTGCTGGAAACTTTGCGCTGATCTTCTTGGCAATGGAGAAGCTTGGAGCCAATCTCCATAGATTTCGCCAACGGACCATTGAAGATCATTGAAGCAAACAGCAATTGGTGATTTCAGGTAAGAAAAAGAGGCCGTGACTGCGACCGAAAAGGAACGAAAGGGGTGTCAGTGCAGGAATTGTTTCCGGTATCTCGGTATCTCCAAACTCAGTGCTCTGAAAACTTGTTACTTTTCTACCTGCAATCCAATCCAAGGGCTGCCGTCAGAGCTTCTGCAACCCTTTTGACAAAATACGCTCACTTGAACTACCCAGTGCCCTGGACATAAGAGCAGGCTTGAAATGCAATGCAGGATGAATAAGAAAGCACATTTTTTTTAGCACTTCCTCTATGGGTTTGATTGACCATGTGGACGTGGACCTCCAGATACAGAAGTCACAGGATGCTTTCTGAGCTCAGCGATACTGGCAATACCCTCTCACCAAGGCGGTTTTCTACATTTTCTCAGGCCTGGCCCTGGCATCAGCATTGGCCTTCCACGTATCTTAGCTTACACATTCACACCTGGCAAACCTTGACTTCCTTGCGTACTGTTGTGGAATGGCACTGAATAGCCGTACATGTACATCAAAAAGTTTGAATGAACAGGGCAGTGACCGCAGGGCCATTTGCATTGGCGTTTTCCTACCCTACCCATTTGGATTGCTAGTCATTGCTAGTCAAAGATGGCAAGGCGTCACATCGTTGCAATCCACGACCAGCAAGGTTCTCGCTACAGAAACGGGCTCCACTGCTCCAAGTGGCTCCCTCTGTGCCAAGGCCGATGGGCCGAGTGCAGTTTGACAGTTGTTTGCTGGTGGTTTTAAGAATTTGGCTATGGATCAATACCTATTAATACCATTTTTAGGGGGATGAACATCCATTTACCAGCTATTTTGATGTGAACTACAGGGGTACAAGGTTTTGACACACTGCCATTTCAAAGATGTTTTCAGTGCAGACTTGTAGACTGTCTCAAGATGTTATTGTGTGAGAACCAACATGAACCAACTATTTGGCGAAAAAACTGGAAACGTGACATGCTTGGAAGGCAACCAGTGCCATCCGTCTTTGGAAAGATCCAAAGATTTGGGTTCCTTGGAACTTGTTGGAACCTGTTGGGACATGAAAATCTACTGCTGAGCTGCAGTGGCCCTACGAAAACCTGGACTCGCAGTAGCTTGTCAATTTTTGATCTCCGAGGATCCAATTAAGGGCTTCTCCTGACATGACTTATACCGTATACTCCAAAATTACCATGGGGAAAGCGACTTGCAAACTACCTTACTTCGAGTGATCGCCACCCTGACATATTATTCTGACATAATTTCTGACATATAATCTGGACGTATTATGGCACAACAAATCTGACATTCTATTTGACATTCTTTCTGGCATATACTTTGACATTCTATCATAGAAGACTTTCTGGCGTTCTTTCTGGCATCTATTCTGACATAGTTTCTGGCATCTTTTCTGACATTCTATCTGGCATTCTTTCTGACATTCTATATCTGACATTCTATCTGGCCTTCTCTGGTATTTCTCTCTGGCATGAGTTCCGGTCGAGCCGCAATCCACTGCATCCGGAGCTGGCAGAGATGAAGAGGAAAAGGAGGCGGAGGAGAAGGAGAAGGAGTCGCACCTTTGTTAAATTCTCGAGACCCTCACCTGGCAGGTGGGGAAAGACACTAGACTTAGGGGTATCCCCGTACCATACTTCAAACCCCAGGAATCGTAGGTGGTCTTCTGGTCTATAGTTTATGAACGATATAACATATGTAGTAGTCATATAACTAGGACATAGTATGCTTATTATCCACTTACCAACTGGGATGCATGCCCATGGCATATCATTTCCCAGGTGTTGCAATGCACGAATTTGACCTTTGGCTTCGCAGCGGCCTGGCTGGGTGGCTATGTCGGAAGGCGGCGCCAACAGCCCATTTTGTCTTCCAACGACATGCAGAGCTCATTCATTTTGATTATTTCTGTGCAATTATTGATCAATCTTTTCAGGAGTTGAACAACAAACAATCAACGGACTCCTTCTGAGTCAAGGCTCAAAAAGGCAGCAGATGATCAACAGCTGCGTGCGCAGCTACTGTTTGGCACAGGTACATCGTCAATCCAGCCCTTCATGGCGCCCAATTCATCGGCTTTGCAGGCACACTTTTGCAGCTAAATAGGGCTTGGTCATGGTCCAAAGTCAAACTCCACAAAGACATGTTGACATGTTGTATACATTTGTATATTGCTTTATTATGCTTTATTATGCTTTATTGCTGTATCATCTTCAGGAGCCATGCTGTCAGCGCTGGCCAGTGTCTTGTCGGCTGGATTGGGCGTTGTTGCGAGGATGCTTGGCTGAAGCTTCAAATCCTAGGCCCATGCCATCAGCACCTCATAGCTGCCATAGCTCCCACGATGTGCTCAGCAGATCACAGTCCCTGTGCAGGAAGCTGGGCAAAGGCCCTGTGGTTGCTCTTGGTGCAGCAGCATTCCTGATGTTGGCAGTGCTCAGTAAGTTCCTGGGATCAGCAAAAACTCGAAGGATTTAAAAGGGACTTGAAGGTAACTTGAACATTCTGAGAAAACGATATCTTTTGGTCAGATCAGAAGGTAACTGATATATTACTGATATATCTTGACAATTCTTGAGATTGTGGTTTCGGGTTGCTGCCGATGCTTGTCTTTTCCCCGGCCTGAGGTTTGTGGGCAATCCAGCCACGTGGGGATGGGGCGTTCTGGCTTCTTGCCTGAGTCATTCATATGGAAGACCTGGAAGACGGTGATTTCATTCGTATGTAGCATATGTAGCTGTTAATGCTCATGAGCTGCACTTTATCAGCTACATAACTTGAAAGATCTTGAAAGCCTCAATGGAATGCGCCAACAGCTCAGCCAGAAACGGAATATGCGGTCCTGTCTATCTTGGCGGATGGGCTCTGAGGTCTTTTACCTGCTTATGGGAATTGGCCGAGCAGTGTACGAGAGTACCAATAAGGCAATCTTTGCAGACTTCTTCCCTGGTGAGGCGCCAACAGCACAGTCTTTAGGATGCTTTTGGACTATTGATAGGACTGGTCATGGACCATGGTGCAGACTGGCCAACTGGTCGGTGCTTTTTTGCTTGAAGATCAAAGGCAACTGCTTCAAGTCATTGCATCGTGCAGCATATTTGAGCACTGGCACCCCACCTCCCGTTATCCTTCATCGGAACAAGCCAACACAAAGTGTAGATAGATTCAGTGTAGATAGATTCAGTGTAGATAGATGGTGTAGATAGATGGTGTAGATGTAGACATAATTTAGACATAACATTCCATGCATTTTTTTTACATCACAGCAGCTAACATGGCACATCCATGGCACATCACACAGCAGCGCCAGAGAGGCGAGCGCTGGCGCCTTCGCGAACGTTTTCGTTTTTGGCACCTTGGCCTCGACCATCGCCTTCACCCTTGGTGCTACTTCCAAGGCGGCGATCTGTGACCGGACACAGTTCTGTGAGACACAGTTCAGTTGTTTACTCAGTGTACTTACAGTGTACTCTTTGAAATGGGCTGATCTAACTGTGATCTAACTGTGATCTAACTGTGATCTATGGAATCTATGGTGATCTGGGAATCCGAGAATTTGGATGGTCCATTAGGTCATCCAACCTGGAGATACTTGGAGTTATGATTTGCCACGTGTCGTTGCGAACGGTTCAGAACTTGAGCGAATTGTACCTGCTGATGATCTTCGCAATCCTCACAGTGCCGGGCTACATTACCGCCTCCTTTGTCAAGCGCTGTGAGGAGTTGGCGTAATGAGAATTCACTTTGACGCTAGCTGTCTTAGCCTTGACATGCCTTGGGATGCGGTGATGCGTTTGGTTGTAGACATACCATGTCCATGTCCAACACAGTCCAACCCCGACAGAGGAGTCCTCCTCTGCAGACTGTGCGGAATCTTCGTCATCTGCTTGAAAGTCTTTGATAGGCCACAGACTGAGGGAAAATCATGGAACATCTGAAAATCATTGAAAATCCGTTACGATTGATGACAATTGCTGGTAGAAGCAGTAGCTGTCGGTAAGCGCTCAGAAATGTGTTGTGCTCTCGGTGCCTCCTTTTTTCGGCCATCTGACAATAAAATGGACCCCGGAGCCCTTGGTGACATCTCTGCACTTGATATCTTGGCCTGTTTTTGGCAGTGAAGATTCTCTGCAGGCGACCAAGGCGGACTCCTTGCTTGGAGGAGGATGCTGTGTTGTTTTTGCATTGTTTTGCTTTGATCAGGGCCTTTGGCCGTTTCACTGCAGACATCTTAGAGGCTCTGCAAGAGGGACAGCTGACAAGCAGAGCTTCTGTCTCAGGGACTTGGATTATCGTTTAGCCACTTTTAGCCACAGCACTGCTCCATACTGCCGATATCCAAGTCCCTCTGTGATGGTGCGCGATTCCGCGATGCAAAACGTGTCCGTCATGGCATGTCCAGGTCTTGTTCACCGTACTATTTTTGCGAAAGCCAGCCGGTAGGCCCCGTAGGCTTAGCTGAAGTTTATTTTGCATATTTTACATCTACCATGCAATAGTGTGGCCCTTGCAATTTGGTCAGTAGATTGCACTTTGGTCCTGTGCAAACCCTGAGTACAGAAAACTTTTGCTTCGCACTTGTCGATCTCGAAAATGAAATGTGACCGGAGAAGCTATGACCATTTCGCTCAAAGCGGATCAGATAGGTGATATTGATAGATGTGATAGGTATTGATAGGTTCTTTCCACTGACAAATGCTATGAAACACCCGGAGCCCATTTGGTTTCACTTCTCCATGGTCTCATTTGTGAAAAGCTGTCAGCTGCATGCGGCATTTCAAGGCCATGCGGTCTATGTGGATCAGGCGTCTGGAGTCCTGAGAGTCCTGAGTGACCAGGGACAGAACAGTCGGAACAGTTGAACCAACATTGGCCACATCCATACGGGACAGTTGAGGTTTGCGAGCACCCAACGAGGGTGTAGTAACTGTAGTAGTTGTTACTGTAGTTGTTATAGTTGTTCAATTTTGGTAAAGGACGCGCAGTTGTTGAGCTTTTCCAAGAGTTACGACGACTAGCTTTGTCTTTGTCGATGTCCAAAATCTGTAAAACTATCATGCAGCTCTACCACAAACCCAGACTTCAAAGGCAGGAACAGTACCGAACCCTTTCTGAGGCCAGTAAGAGCAGCTTTGAATGGCCGTGTGCTTGTGTGCGAGACTTGGTAAGAGTATCTCTTTTCATGTTGCCGCTCGGGCCATGGCCGAGGCTGGAGGGTATTGAGAAGGCAGAACGCAACGTGCCCAAAGTCTGGTTGAATTGACGCATAAAATCAGATCTGAACAAAGAACAACTCCTCTCTTTGCTACTATGCACTCTATGCACTCCAGCTATTGCTGGTAAGAAACCGTATGGTCGAAGTTGGAAGATGTATTGAACGTGTGCGAGACTTGTTGAAAGGAGCGTTCCACAGCAACAGCATTGACTCGACATCACCCTGCAGCCCTTTCCGGTTCAGCAAAGTCTAACCCTCAACTCTCTTTGTGTTTGGTGCCCGGTATGATGCTGCACTTCTTCCTGTTGATCTCCGCAGCTGCCTTGGATGAGCATGAAGCTGCTTTAAAGCAGGATTCCGAGTGCACATCAGCTGAGTGTACCTTGAGCGCTCTTCAGCTTCTTGGCACATGGAAGCTGCCCACTCACTGTTTGTTCAATATCAGGACATTTCAGGACTCGGAGTCATGTCAACTTCACCCTGTTGTTCAATTCCTTGGTGGCAAGCAGTGAATAGTGTTGATGGAAAGACATGAAACATGATCAAACTAATGTGTCAGAGACAGCCACTGTAGCTCCGGTGACTAAGGCTGAACTCAGCAGCTACGACGGCAGATTTGAACGCAGATGTCGCGGTGGATGTGGATGGTGATTTCTCAAACTCTTCCTCAGATTTTCCACTTTACGGTTACCACCATTGGGCCACCACCACGATGTATGGCGATGCTCCCCGATCAGCATGTGGAGGAATTGATACCCACCGACTGGTGCAAGGCACCCGGTATCACAATGTGGCCTCGGCCCAGTCGATGTGGAGGAATTGCAATGGAAACGGGGCATGTTGGTGTGGCCAAGCAGGTGGTGGTTCAGGAACCACCGGAATGGGCTGCCTGTCCTGTGCAAAAGGGCGCTTCTTGCGGTCAGCATATGGCCAGAAGGGCAAGGCTTTGTACAGCCTTGCGCAAGAAGAATCCGAAGATGAGTCGGAAGACCCTTTCATGTCAGAAGAGATAATTGTAGTTGTGGGTGACCTCTGTCCACATCCAGGAAACGAAGATTGGTGTCCCAATCGTGCTGGACTGAAGAATGCCTATGGATCCTTCAATCATCTTGACTTCTCTCACTACCCCAACAGCGTGCCACACTCGAGATCTATCCCCAACAAGAACTTTGTCTTCTCTCGGATTGATTGCCCGGGTGACTTGAAGCAGCGATACTACTCAATGTCGCATTGCCGCTGAGCCATGGCTATGGTGATGTCAGCTATGGCGGCAAATGCAGCTAGGGTGTGAGTCCTCCCGGACAAGTGAGGCAGCCTAGGTCCTTAGGTAGAGTGTTCACCTTCTCCTTCTAGTCGTTAGATCGCCCACCGACGCCCAAATGGTATTGGATGGGCATATTCACCTGGCCAAAGTTGTGGTTGAAAGCAGTCACTCCAGGCCATCATTTGATATCATTTGATATCATTTGTGTACTCTTCTGTTCAAGTTCATTTTATTTGGTTCAATTTTGGTTCAATCCAATCATATCCCAACCTGGCCAGCTTCTCATCACGAACTGTGCAACTGTCACATACACAGCGAAAGACCGTTCGTTTTCAAAACTGAGTTTTTGGCGCTAGCTGAGGATGGCCACAGGTTTCAGGAGGTTTGGGTTTTTTATGGAGGGGCTTCTCGAATTCTAGGGCTGCAGGACACTGCAGGCAGGGTGGCAAAATGAAAAGATACCTGAAGTATGTCAACATGGGTTTGGGTTCTGGTCAGTACTCGTACTTGCCATCGAGTTCCAAAGGTTACAGTGTTCCTTTTAACTTTCGGGTGACTCTGCAGGTTCTTGCAGGGTTCTGCCGGGGAGTTTGGGTTGCATTGTTCAAATGTTAGACAGTTGGAAGGCTGCGCAAGAGTCAAGGGCAGGCTTTCACAGGTTCCAAGGAAGAAAGGTTCCTAGTTTTGGATGTTGATGGCACGAGCTTTGTTGCCAGCTGCTGTAGCCGGAGCCCGTGAATTCTGTTGCAGAACTGCATGGTGCTGCAGTGCTGCAGGATGCTGCAGGTGATCTTGCAGCTTTGCCTCGGAGGTACTGCCACTCCTCAACAATCTCCTGGAGAACAGAGAGATGCAACTGGAGGTAGATTTGTCACGAGCTGCGAAGATAAATCACAACATGCTGGCTTGCAACGCCAATATGGGTTGAATGATTAAGAACTGAAGTGGCAGCCAGGATGGGCGTTTCTTGTTAGCGCCTGGTCGCGTTGAAGGACCCTGCTTGCTTGACTTTGGGTGTTGTCAGGTGTACAGCTAAAATGGCCACTTGCTGGATCCACTGCACAGGATTGCAAGCATCACATGCAGAGGAAAGTGAGGACGTCGGTACTGTGGAGGAAGATTGTCTCATTTGATCATATAACCAAACCCATAACCATCCGTAACCGTGGTTTTCAAGCTTTCTAGCTCCTTCTGACGGATGTAGAATGGCTGTTGGATTTCTGACACAGCCGCTTGTCCGGAACTGTCATACACTTTGCCTTCTGAACGGTGATGGATGGTCATGGATGATTATGGATGGTGATGGGCTTGTTGCGCCTGTTCCAGGACTTCAGAATGGTATCTGTCCATGAAGACTTCATTGTCATTGCCATAGGCATGGCATGCAGTGAAGAATACAACAGCCACAGAGCGACTAGTCAAATTGTGGCAGGCATGCCCAGCAGGGGCAATCCGTTGGATCCGCCCTTGCTTGGGAACTCAGCACAGAATACAAACTACAAACATCTACAAACATCTACAAACAATATCAAACCATGATTTCTATTGATTTCTGACATTTTCTGATTTGTTTCCCTCTTGGAGAAGTGCTGAGAAGTGGTTGCGACCGTTGCGACCGTTGCGACCTGATGGCCATCTGTGGTCACTTCAAAGGCGGCTCAAACTTTGTCGCAACCGAGGCGATCCCGCTTTGCTGGCCATGCCCTGTGGCCCACTTCAATCCCTGAGGCGCAGCTCGTTGAGAGCTCGTGACCTTCGCCCTGTCAGTCTGAGTCGACCCATGACAGGCGTTTCGGCAGATCAATCGGGTGGCAACTCCACCAGATAGTGAGCTGAAAGAGTTGAAGAAGGCCTTTGCAACGGGGCACTTTTCCATACTTTTCCCTGCCCCGGAGTCCCGGAGGCAAGAAATCAACAGTGACACACCCAGCTACTCCCATTGGTCCCATTCCTGCAATTTTGGTCAGGTCCTGAATGTGCTACAGGGCTTCATCAAGCATGCAAAGCAGGTGATGGTTCAGAACTTGTTTGAGGGTTTGTCCAAAACTAGGGTCCCTTGGTACACCTAAACCCACTGGTTAGTCATCATTTTCCCAATGAAATTGAACTTTGGGGGTGTACCATTCCAAGAATTGAACCAATGGTTGCATGTCAGAAGAATGAAAATAGCACAGCCATGCAGGGCGAATTGTGTGTCCATATGCTTTTGGTTTGTCGTTTCCCTCATCCACTTCCCGGACATCTTCGACAGTGGGACAGGCAGGAACGCGAGTACCACCCATTCCAGAAGGCGCTGCCGTGCGGGCAGCTCGTGGGAGAACCCAGCCGGATTTATTGTGGTCTGTGGGGACTGGAAATTACATGGACATGGTGCAATTCTGGCATGTATCAAAAGCATTTGAGCTCGAAATTTAACCAGTGAACAAACCCACATAGCCAAGGGGCATGTTCCTACTTCCAAGACTTCCGATCCCAAGAATTTGAACACGTTGTCTACATGTTGGGAGTCCAACGCCTGTCGACTTGGCGTAGGGGCATGTTTTCCTGTTTCAGTTTCTAAAAAACAGCATTGACATCGGAGGACCATGCTGGTTGCAACCTAATTGGTGCCATGGCGCAGACGCTCTCACGCAGTGACGCCAAAAACAAGATCAACCGCGGTGCGTTTCACCGCAAGGCAGATCTCATGTGCACCCGGTGGATCAGGTAGAGCCCAGGATGGTGACTAGAAGTCCTGTGCAGCCCTGTGCAAATCTCACAAGAGCTTGATGCCTGACTCCGAGCATGACAGGGGTTTCCCAGGGGTTTCCCCTCCCTGATGAGGTTGTTCTGGAAGTTGTGACGCAGTATGGAGACTTGCTGTGCTATGCACAGCCCAAGCATCAAAGGCCACAGCTCTTTCTGAATGGACATCTCATCTCTGAGGATTTGCTTTGATAATGCCCCTTTATCTTACTGCCTGGGTGTAAAGAAACACAACGAGACATCAACTACAGAATAGACATTGTATAGACAGCAATTACATTGTAGTGTTTGTAGTGTAGATTCAAATCACGTCTATACAATTTGAGCGGGTTTGGGAATGAATTTGATAAATAGCAAGCAGGATATCAGACGTTTCCCCAGCAGCCCAGCCCCAGTGGCAGGGACAAAGAAGTGGTGTTGGCAGCCGTGGCCAGCAGCAGTTGGGCGGTGAAATATGTGGCCAGGGTAGCAATTATGCCACAAAGTGAGAACTCCGAAATGTTAAGCAGGTGAGCAGTGGTTTTTTTCTGGCATTCACACATATTCACACATTCTGCTGGAATCATTGTGCAAAAGGGGGCACACACACACACCTGTATTCACCATGACCTCACTTTGCGTTTACCGTGTTGACCAGAATTCCATGACTTGCAGACCTGCTCCAGCCATCTCCAGCCCACTTTTCTGATATCATCTCTATGCATCTCTCAGGTTGCAGAAGACCTGCTACAGGATGACAACTTCGCACTGGATATGATTCGCGCCAATCCTATGGCCCTCCGGATGCTGCCGGACGCTGCACTCACTTCCTGTGCAGGGCACGTATTCGTCAAAACTACTAAAATTGTAGGCAAGGCTGAACATCCTGGAGATAGGAGTTGGAAGTCATGAGCAGAATGTTGCATGTCCACATACAAGTAGAAACATGTAGAAACAAGTAGAAACAAAGAAGTTTTGTTTTTCTCCATTTTTCTTCAGGAGCTGATTGGTTGGGGAGGTTAGGGACCAGCATGGACCAGCATGGACCAGCACAAGCAAATGAAGGCCTTGACATGAAACACGTGGCTTTGAGGAGCGCTGCCGCCATGACCCCGACATGGTCCTTGCTGCTGTGAGTGGGGATGGGCGCTGCCTGTCTTTGAGTTCCCTGCAGCAAGATGAGGACTTTGTGCGCGAGGCGCCTGTGTGGTTGCGGTCGGGGAAAACTTGCAGGGACTTTTGTTTTTTTGAAAACCCAACATAAATGATTATAAACGATTGCAAGCTGCTTGGAAGCTGCAAGCACATTGATGTTTCACCGACACAATTCGATGATCACGGGAAGCCATAATTCCGCAACTGACGCCCTTCTGGTAGGTCCGATGTGTTGATGTTGTGCGAATGAATATTGCATGTTCTTTTGGGATCTTTTGGGTACGGTCAGGAAAATACGCTTATCACTGATGAAACTATCCCACCATTAGCACCAGTCCTGTGGAGCCGTGCGCGAATGCCCGAGAAACCAATGCCGATTCTTCGCAACTTGGACCTTAACCATGAAAAACCGGGATCTGGTTTATGTGATGTGAATGAATAGATACAAAACCGATACCGAATGGATACCTCATTAAGTATACATATGTACTCGTATGTATTCATTGGTTGCAGGCAGTTTGCTGCAGTGCCGAAGCTTTGCAATTTGCTCCAGAGCCTCTGAAGGCCCGCCCTCGCAGCCCCAGCAGTCGAGTCTTGTGGGTCAGGTGAAACGGAAGTTTGAAACCCAAATCATACTTCAAATTCATTTGTACTCATATAATCTTTATATCATCCCATAATAAGGGGATTATCATCCCAAATCATACCTTACCAGTAGTCCCGCACAAGGCAGTGGCGGAAGTTTCAAAAATAGGAAACCTATAGGAGAGGTTGGTTGTTGTGAATCACGGATGGCAGAGCGAAGCCACTGATGGACCGAAAGGTGGTTGAGGTCTCCTCTCTCTTTCTCTCTCTCTCTCTCTCTCTTTCTCTCTTTCTCTGGCTATCTACCTACCTACCTACCGATCTATCTATGTATCTATCTATCTATCTATCTATCTGCCTACCCAGCTATCTATCTATCTATCTATCTATCTATCTCTCTCTCTCTCTCTCTGTCTGTCTGTCTGTCTGTCTGTCTGTCTGTCTGTCTGTCTGTCTCTGCTTGAAAACGAAGCTATTCTGCGAGACTTCCTCAATTTTTGAAAAACGCAGCAATTCAGCGAGACTTCCTCAATTTTTGAACTTGATAACGTCAAAAACGAAATACATTTTGACCTCGAAAGGTGCTTCGCGCCACAACGGCATGCACTTTTTCGACATCTCAACTTCCAAAAGTTGTCCGAAGCTGAGGTGTTTTGCACGTTTGACTTGGAAATGTGCTTCGCGCCACAACGGCATGCAATTTTTCACCTCTCATCTGGGCAGCTGGCTCCGCACCCGCCGCTTTAGCGAGCCTACTTTTCGACCCTCTGGAGCCACAAACCATTGGAAAAACACAGTGTTCGCGACTTCCTACCTTTTCGCGCACCTGCATCTTCTTTCTTCTGACTCTTTCTCTTCTCTGATCTTCTCTCTTCTGCTCTTCTCTTCTCTATTCTTCTGCTCCACCTCTGCTTTTCATCTGTCCATATTGTCGGAAGTTTGACTTCTAAACTTCCTTCGATTATGGCATTGGACTTCTATGCGTCCCATAAGGGGAATCATATCATCGTCAGTATGTCAGGTCGGACTGGGTCTGACTCCTCAGATCCATTCCCACGATATAATTCCCATATCCCCATATTTTGGGGAAGATCCCATAGATTGGGCGCGTATAATCCCTAATTAACCGTAACTAACTAACCATAACTAACCATAACTAACCATAACTAACCATGACTAACCATGCCTAACCATGACCATAACTAACCAACCATAACTAACCATAACTAACCATAACTAACCATAACTAACCATGACCATAACTAACCATAACCAATAGCGGCCCCAGATCCCAGATCCCATGGATCCTTCGGAGCGCCAGGCAGATTTTGACCTCGTCGTCTCCGCGGTTTCTGCGGATGGCCGGGCCTTGCGCTTTGCCGCGCCTGAGCTCCGCAGCAATCGGCAGGTGGCGCTGGCGGCGGTGGAGGGCTGCGCAGGAGCCATGGCGCACGTAGGCGCAACGGGAGTTGTGAAGAGAGAGCCATGAAAATTATGAACACTATGAACACTTCAAGTATGAACAATAGACATCTAACATGGACTTGAACTATTTTTGTAGACTCAACTATATATTCAACATGTACTATATATGAGTGTGATGATGTCTGTAGGTCGGATTGGTTGTGCTTTGTGGCCGTGATCTTATTACATGGACATTTTTGCTTTGCAAAAGAACAATGTGTTCCAACGGAACAATGGTTTGGTTATTTGCAAATGATGGCCAGCACCTTCGGCCCCATTTGTTCAATGGTGACTACTGACTACAGCCAGTAGCATATACGTCTGATCTCGAACAAAACTGTTCTTCCATTCCGAGATGCCGGAGCACCCTGCTGAATCATGGCCCCCAAAGGTGAAGAGCTGCGCGGCAATCGTCATTTTGTGTTGGAAGCTCTTCGCCTACAGGGAGCTGCTTTGGAGTATTTGCCGGACTTTCAGGATGATGAGGCCTCGCACCCCGATGCTACCTTGGACATCCTTTGACATCTTTTGACGATGTTGCAAATTATGTGAAAGATGAACGGTTTGGTTCCAAAATGCTGCAAATACCACGCAGAGATACACAACAGTTGAGGGTTCAAGTGCTTCAAACTTAAACATGTTGTAAGTAATGTTTAAATACATTGGAAGATACGAGACCAACAAACCCCAACCACTAACCACAAGAATAACAGCAGCAAGAATAACAGAACCAGCAACAACTACTACAAGAACAGCCACAAGAAGAAGAAGAAGAAGACGAAGAACAGAAATAACATGAAATAACATGAAATAACAACATAACAGCAAACAAAAACAAGAACGGCAAAAAAACCAAGAACAGCAGCAGCAGCAGCAGCAGCAACAACAACAACAACAACAACAGTTACAGCGACGGGCAGCGCCCTCCCCCATGCCAGAAAAATCTTTTTGCTTCCCATTTTGACCTCTTTGCTTTCTTGTCCCTGGTGTAAATACCATGAGGCCCAGAAAGGCCAACTGAGATGTAAATGAATACGTTAGCAACCTAACGTGTCACAATGTTTCAACAAGTATCATGGAGGGTCGAAACTCCACAACGCCTGAAAGGTCATACAAGATGGAATGCTGCATGTGCCGTACACAATGGAAGGTATAAGTTCAGGTTCCAAATGTTGTGTGGACCATGCAAAATAAAAGAGGTTGAAGTCCCCAAATGCTGCACATATCATGCAAAATGCAAGGCTGTAATTCCAAAATGCTGCACATACCGAATGAATGCACATACAATGCAAATGTTGAATTGAGAGGTTGAACTTCCAAAACATTGCAAATAGCAAGGGAAAAGGCAGGACAAGAAACCAGACTCGTACAAAAAACATAAACAACAAACGATAACAAACGGTAACAAGACACATTCCAACCCTGATGTATGATTTTTCGATCTCTGTCTTCGGCTTTGCCTGTCTGTGGCACCTTGGTCCAAAGTGTCCGATTAGCTGCCAGGAAGTTGTGCTTGAAGCGCTAGCATCGAACAGCGGAGCTCTGCGCTTCTCGACCCTGAAGTCTCAGCGGAGCTTCGCCCTCCTTGCAGTAGAGACAGCAGGCCAGCGGGATAGAGGGGGTGTGAAATTATTCAATGGAGAAACTGGTTTATTGGAAGTAGGGGGGATACCTCATTTTCAGACAATCCCATTTCCAACATTTTTTGTCTAGTGTCAGCATGATTCATTTGATGGTGATCCTCTTTACCTTAAAGCGTGTTTGCATACGAAGCACTTGTCCAGGTATGAGCCTTGAGCATGTATCTGCGGAACTTCTTGAAGATAAGCAAGTGGTCCTTGCTGCTCGGCATTGTGCTTTCTCATCTTTCTCTCTTGACTGACAAAGTCAATAATGGTGGAGGTGGGTTTTTATGCCCCTTCCCACGCCAATCAAAATCGATTGAGGCCAGATAGCCTCCACAACTTTGCCTGTAATGGTATGTGGATGGTATGTACTTCTATACTTAGTCGTGTTGTCCCAAAACGTTTCGAGGCACAACCAAAGGAGGTGAACACTTCTCCTTACCTCGTGCCCTTTGCAGGCTGCAGTGACATCCAATGGCTTGGCATTACAATTTGCGAGTCAGACATTGAAGGGTGATGAGGAAGTGGTGTGGTGCGCCGTGAATCAGGAGCAGTCAATGGGATTTCCATGGATTTCCCTATGTTTGAATTTCTTTTGGTGGACATCATTGATTGATGTTGAAATACGCCTTCCAAGGGTTAATTTTTTTTGTGCTCGAGCGCGAGACATCACAGGATGTGCTCATTAGATCTCATTCGCCCGTATCTGAAACATCCATTTCCTGGACGAAAGGGCCCGAGTTTCCTGAACTCTTGCAATCTTCAGTTCCATATTAATGTTGGCAGCTGATTAGTGTGAGGGCCCCCCCGTACGTTCGACACTTGGAGGCTATATCGCAAGCCAAGAGGCTATGGATCAATACTAATCAAAAGGCATCGAAGCAAACCACAGGCGCAAAATGGACGCAACTGATTCCGCATGCTTCAGGCTTCAGGACATATAATAGGCTTCCCAGAAGGAGCCATGAGGCCGATGAGGCCGATGGAGCCGATGAGGCCGATGAGGCCGATGAGGCCGCTGAAGCCGATGAGGCCGATGAGGCCGATGAGGCCGCTGAGGTCGCTGAGGCCGATGAGGCCGATGGAGCCGATGAGGCCGATGAGGCCGATGAGGCCGATGGAGCCGCTGGAGAGGCCGATGGAGCCGCTGGAGCCGATGAGGCCGATGAGGCCGATGAGGCCGATGAGGCCGATGAGGCCGATGCCGATGCCGAGAAGCCGATGGAGCCGCTGCCGATGAGGCCGATGAGGCCGATGAGGCCGATGAGGCCGATGAGGCCGATGAGGCCCGATGAGCCGCTGGAGCCGATGAGGCCGATGAGGCCGATGAGGCCGATGAGGCCGATGAGGCCGATGAGGCCGCTGGAGCCGATGGAGCCGCTGGAGCCGACGAGGCCGATGAGGCCGATGAGGCCGATGAGGCCGATGAGGCCGATGAGGCCGCTGAGGTCGCTGAGGCCGATGAGGCCGATGGAGCCGATGAGGCCGATGAGGCCGATGAGGCCGATGAGGCCGATGGAGCCGATGAGGCCGATGAGGCCGATGAGGCCGATGAGGCCCATGAGCCGCTGGAGCCGATGGAGCCGCTGGAGCCGATGAGGCCGATGAGGCCGATGAGGCCGATGAGGCCGATGAGGCCGATGAGGCCGATGAGGCCGATGAGCCGCTGGAGCCGATGGAGCCGCTGGAGCCGATGAGGCCGATGAGGCCGATGAGGCCGATGAGGCCGATGAGCCGCTGGAGCCGATGGAGCCGCTGGAGCCGATGAGGCCGATGAGGCCGATGAGGCCGATGAGGCCGATGAGGCTGATCAGGCCGATGAGGCCGATGGAGCCGATGAGGCCGATGAGGCCGATGGAGCCGATGAGGCCGATGAGGCCGATGAGGCCGATGAGGCCGATGGAGCCGATGAGGCCGCTGGAGCCGATGAGGCCGATGAGGCCGATGGAGCCGCTGAGGCCGCTGAGGCCGATGAGGCCGATGGAGCCGATGAGGCCGATGAGGCCGATGAGGCCGATGGAGCCGATGAGGCCGATGAGGCCGATGAGGTCGATGCGGCCGATGAGGCCGATGAGGCCGATGAGGCCGATGAGGCCGATGAGGCCGATGAGGCCGATGGAGCCGCTGGAGCCGATGGAGCCGCTGGAGCCGATGAGGCCGATGAGGCCGATGAGGCCGATGGAGCCGATGAGGCCGATGAGGCCGATGGGGCCGATGAGGCCGATGAGGCCGATGAGGCCGATGGAGCCGATGAGGCCGATGAGGCCGATGAGGCCGATGAGGCCGATGAGGCCGATGGAGCCGATGAGGCCGATGGAGCCGATGAGGCCCCTTGAGCCGATGAGGCCGATGGAGCCGATGAGGCCGATGGAGCCGATGAGGCCAATGGAGCCGATGAGGCCCCTTGAGCCGATGAGGCCGATGGAGCCGCTGGAGCCGATGAGGCCGATGAGGCCGATGGAGACGATGAGGCCGATGGAGCCGTTGAGGCCGATGCAGGCCGATGAGGCCGATGAGGCCGATGAGGCCGATGGAGCCGCTGGAGCCGCTGGAGCCGATGACACCGATGAGGCCGATGAAGCCGATGGAGCCGCTGGAGCCGATGAGGCCGATGGAGCCGCTGGAGCCGATGGAGCCGCTGGAGCCGATGAGGCCGATGAGGCCGATGAGGCCGATGAGGCCGATGAGGCCGATGAGGCCGATGAGGCCGATGGAGCCGATGAGGCCGATGAGGCCGATGGGGCCGATGAGGCCGATGAGGCCGATGAGGCCGATGGAGCCGATGAGGCCGATGAGGCCGATGGAGCCGATCAGGCCGATGAGGCCGACGAGGCCGATGAGGCCGATGGAGCCGCTGAGGCCGATGAAGCCGATGAGGCCGATGAGGCCGATGGAGCCGATGAGGCCGATGGAGCCGCTGGAGCCGATGAGGCCGATGGTGCCGCTGAGGCCGATGAGGCCGATGAAGAAGCCGATGGAGCCGCTGGGGCCGCTGAGGCCGCTGAGGCTGATGGAGTCGCTGGAGCCGCTGGCGCCAGTGGGGCCGATGAGGCCGATGAGGCCGATGCGGCCGCTGGAGCCGATGAGGCCGATTAGGCTGATGAGGCTAGTGCGGCCGATGAGGCCGATGAGGCCGCTGCAGCTGATGAGGCCGATGAGGCTGATGAGGCCGGTGGAGCTGATGGAGCCGCTGGAGCCGATGGAGCCGATGAGGCCGATGAGGCCGATGGAGCCGATGAGGCCGATGGAGCCGCTGGAGCCGATGAGGCCGATGAGGCCGCTCAAGCCGCTGGAGCCGATCAGGCCGATGGAGCCGATGAGGAGTAAATGAATAAATTATGGTACATGGTGTTGTTTTGTATTGGTTTCTGTTGTTTTTTAAATGGAGTATAGTGAGGCGGGGGACCTTTTTAGTGCTATTTTCGATGTGCACAAGACCACCACTCTGCTGTCGGCTTCATGCCGCCAAAACAACCTTAAGCCTTTATAAATGCTTCTTGGCACAGAAGTGTGCGATTGAGAGGCTTCCCTAGGCCGAGAAATATACCCTATACAATAAAGTCACAATTTGCATTGTTCTTTGAATCAAAAAGCATATCTTATACTGTATCTATATGTTTTTCATGGATTAATCTGTTTGCACATATCGAAAGACACGCTACCATGACCACGGCCGGATTTCCTGCAATCATGGTGGTGACGACTTATTCTGCACTAGCTACCTCTTTTGTGCTCCCACTTGCCCGTGCACTATTCGCAGGGCGCATATTTTTGGATCAAACAGATCAACCAACATGAGAAGGCAAAGGATGCATAAAATAGTGTAATTAATCGAAGCGTGATAAGGGGAACGATGCATAAAACAATATATGATATTTCCCTCCACGAGTTGTAGAGAACACAGATCCGCTTCTCTACCATTGGCACAAAGCCGACTTAATTTACTGCCTTGAGACACCCGCAGCCTGCGCGGCGCATGCTGGGAGGCAAGGACGCTTCTGGGTCATGTCTACGCCCGTTTTTTTCAATGACCACAAAAATCAACACCACTGGTCCGCCTCCTATCCAAGCCAGAAGCTGATGTAATGTTCCAGGTTAACGCTAGCCTTTCACTTTTTCACTTTCACAGATATGATTTCTGCACATGTACAATTTTCTGTTTCACGCATGACAGCCGGACTTATCGCCACAGATGTGGCTTCGCAGGTGGCCACTGCGACGCCTCTTCTTCTCAAGGTCCATTCTTGGCACCGCTTCGATGCTGTGGCCGTGCCACACATGTTTTGCTGCATGAACGCCTCAGAACCCTGGATATTATCCTTGTCATGAGCTGGATCTCTCTCTCTCTCTCTATGTACATTGGTATATATATATATATAGTTGTGATAGATAGATAGATAGATCGATAGATAGATAGATATAGATAGATAGATAGATAGATAGGTAGATAGATAGATAGATAGACAGATAGATAGATAGATAGATAGATATCATGTATATATGTAGAAATAGATATGGACATTTTAGGAAACGATCTTGCATCCAAAAAAGACCTTCTATTAAGGACCATAGCTCATGTGATTTGCATTTCCTGCGGCTGAGCTTCATGTCTTTACAGCATAAAGGATGTTACCTGCCTTACCTCAATACTTTTTCCCCTTTCTGATTGGAATCATGGGAAAAGTCATTGAAACCGCTTTCGGCATACGGCATACGCTTCGTTTCGAAATGATACATGTTCACATGTTCAGCAGCACAGCGCTGTGATTACATGGCATGCACCAAAAAAAAGTTCCTTACTCCTTCGCTGTTTGCTATACGGTGACTTTCAAACATTTTTGAAGCATAGCTGGGCGTCACTTTGCGGGTCGAACCATGTCAAACTTTCAGTCAAGTTAGGGCCACCACACGCTTTTTGCAAGGCCTCACCGAAGCGCTGTCCCAACTTGTTGCAGAGCACATGGCGCAAGCAGATGAAGGCGCGAATACAACCTTTCCGCATCTAGATGCCCTAACATAAAGAAATCGTATTTTTTTCTGCCACTCACCAGGCATTCCCGGAGAGGAAAGCGTGCGTGCACTTCCGGAAGACATGGAAAATTGGATGATGAAGCATGGACAAGCGCGAGCACTCCTCGACATCAATCCGCCCGAAATGCCCGACTTCCAGCAAGCACCTCCCAGTCAATGTCATTTCCATGCTGCGTCGGTTCCGGCGGCAGTCTCACAGCATGGTCCTGATGAGCCATCTATTCTTCGGCATTGGAGCCCGGAATGGCTTCCACGACTGTTCGAAGATGCAAGCCATCTCAGAATCCAGAAAGATGTATGCCAACGCCCCGCCACAATGGCAGAAGAAACCATAGCATTCCGAGACCGAGTCGATCAATCCTTTGGTTGGAAAAGCAAAGTTCTGGACGACCAGCAGAAATCTTATAGAGCAGCAGCTCAGGCCACGCTTCTGCCACTTGCATGCATGCGGATTCTATCGGGTGGTGTTGCGTGTATCAACGGCTTCCCACGCCCAACGAAAACCCATAATTGTGCCCCGTAAAAACATGTCCCTAACAATGGGCCCATGTACGTCACAGCGAAGTATCGGAGCAAAACCGAAGGACCCACATAACTTTCATAAGCTGTGCTTTGGAGCTTCGGTGCTGGTGCTGCTGCAGGGTGCAGACTGCACGTT